GGTTTTGAAGAAGTTTTAGCCGCAGAGAACATCAAATTTAGCTCTTAGCCTGGAGCCAAGCTCTGGGCTAAAGAACACATGTCATTTTAGGAATTCATGCAGATGCGCCCTGACATCTGGGATGTGATATGTTGCCTGTACGCTTCTCTGTTGAGATAACAAACAGCAGTGGCCACTGCTGATGCTGCAGGTGGAGCACAAAAGGTTTATCCCATTCATTCCAACACTTTTGTCCAAGCTATGTAAATAATTTCAGGTGACTTCTTTGACATGTGCAAGCCTCTTCTGTTGGTATTTGTCCATGTGATAACTCAGTTGCCTAATTTCCCCTCTGGATTGATTCTGGGAGTGGAGTACTGCAGTGTTTCCTGGGTTATGAACCTCTAAGGGCTGGAGTTCTCTGTTGAGCCTTTGTTTACCACAGCAAGCTCCTCTGTCATGTGTAAAGGCAGCCAAAAGTATGCAACACGTAGGTGATACTTCTTAATCCTCTTAATAGAGTCTGGTTTACACCCATCTAGTGACCAATATATACTGAAATACAGGTATGGAGACTGGAAGGGGTCTTCAGAGATCATGTGTCTCAAGTCAGGATCACCCACGTTTCTCTCTCTGCAATGACTGTAGAAACACTCTGGCTGAGTGCATTAGGCAAGAATAGATGAACATGCACTGAATGTCTCATTTTCTCATTTACATCAGGTCCCTTTATGACTCTGTGATTTGGGCACTCAGCATCTGAGGCATGAATGTCACAGTGCTGTGGTCCTCAATCTGTTCTTGAGCTTTCTATTCTGCACAGCTGTGACTCATTTTCTCTGTGTTGTGAGTGATGGTGTTTGGAAGAGACATGGAACAGTGACAGTGAGAAATGGGTCCATGATGGCATCTTTCACAAAATCTAGTCCAGACCGAACAAAGGCAAAGCCTTGATGAGCTACATGTGCATCTTGTCCAGAACATCTATGGGAATAATTGAATGAAGGGAGGTGATGACTTTGAAATGCTGAACCATCACCATTCAATCCAGACATCTCATTACGAGCCCATTCAGAACCAAAGTAGAAACAACAATATGAAGCCTAGGTACTTGGACCCCTCAAGATAATTTTTTTCTGAGAAACTGTCTGTTGTCCAAGAAATATTTGTGGAAAATAACTGGGAGAATAATTTTGACTAGCAATAGGTTGTGGAAAATAGTAAACAGCTGGGAGATCATTCCTGAGCAGGAGAAAGTAGATAAATGCATTATTTTCTATGACTTACTACTTAGCTGTGGTAGCTGCATTGCTTTTGGTTTGGTGGGGGTTTTGTTGCTTTATTTGAAAGAACTCACTCTTCAAAGAAAACATATTTTCCCTCTGGGAAAAATAACCTCCTGTAATTGCACAACTCCACTGGTTTTTAATCCAGTCTGTGTGCCCACAGTAAGTGGTCTTTGGTTTTCTGGCCAAATACCAGTATTTGCAAGCTTCATGGAAAACTTTTCCTCTTGAGCTATAGAGCACCATAAGGTTTGTAGTTCCACAGGGGCTGACTTAAGCCAACAAGCAGCAGGGCATCAGGTCAAATCCTGCAGAGTATAAGCTTTCACCCATAGGAATACAACATGTATTTTCTAGCCATTCTGCAGAGAAAGCCCTCTGAATGCAAAATGAGGCTGTCTTGATTCTCTGAACTGCCTCTCAAGAGGGAGGAAAGATAGGAAGGAAGAGTGATCTTCTTCTGTGCTTGCTTGCCTGTTTATTCTTAAACCTACTGAGGATCAGTTAAATAGTGATGCTACCCTGTTTGACTCTTCTTTTTGTCAATGAACTCCACCTACTCTCAAAAGGTGGTAGTTTACAGTTACATGTGGGACATCAATAGTATATATAAAACCTGACAAAGTCCAAAGGGTATCCTCATTAACTGCTACATGAACACAATGCAGAAGTCCTGTTGTTATAAGCAGTGTGAAGTTTCCCCACCAAGCCTGCTGCACAAGGTGGAGCCAAGCTGTCATCAAGCTGTGAAAAGTCTCACAATAGTTAGCCCTTGTCCTTGTGGGGGACTTCAATTTATCAGGTGTCTGCTGGGAAATACAATACAGCTGAGAGGGAACAGTCTAGGAGGTTCCCCAAGCGTGTTGAGGGTAACTTCCTGACTCGGTGAAGAAGCCAAGTAGGGAAGATGCCATGCTGGACCTGTTGTCTGTGAACAGAGAAGGACTTTTGGGTGATGTGATGGTTGGAGGCCATCTTGGGCATAGCGAACATGAAATGATAGAGTTTTTGGTTCTTGGATAAGTAAGGAGAGGGGACAGCAGAATGGCCACCTTGAACTTCCACGGGGCAGACTTTGGTCTATTCAGGAGACTGGTTTACAGAGTCCCTTGGGAGGCAGTCCCAAAGGGCAAAGGAGTCCAGGGAGGTTGAACATTCTTCAAGAAGAAAGTCTTAAAGTTGCAGGAGCAGGCCATCCACATGTACTGAAAAATGAGCTCTTGGGGAAGAAGACCAGACTGGCTGAACAGAGAGTTATGGTCTAAGATGAGGCTGATAGGACTGATCTGTGGCAAACATTTGGGTTACTTAGTGCTCATGGTGGTTGTAACCCACATGCTGAACGGCTCTCATAACAGAGGACAGGCATAAGAGGAGCACTGAGGTGTACCTTGTCCTACTCTTTCTGTTTTCTAAATAAAGTTCCTAAAAGCGATGATGCAGAGATTATTTCTGCCCCTGCATCAGTAAAGTGGAGAAGTTTTGGCCTAAAATTTCTTAAAATGCCATTTTTCCTCTGCCTTGCCCATAACTTCAAGGTTTTGGATTTTTTCTTTTTCTTCATTACCAATCAGCCATTTTCCAGCTGCAGTATTAGCTGGGAGTGACATGGTTGCCTCCAGTGGCTATTTAAATTAAACACGGATCTACTGAATAGACACCCAGTGCCAGGAGATCTCTTTCGGAAGGAGAAGAAGGTGAGAGGAGAAACTGCTTTCCAGTTAACATTGCCACTGTGTTTCTGAAGCAAAGGATGACACCTTTCTGACTTCAGGACATTATTAATGTCTTTGTCTTACAGAACATGTGTTCTAAAAGCCTGTAGCCATGTCACCTTCAAGATGTCATTTCATGGGGATACTGCAAGCGAGGTACAGCGGTGTCTCATTGCCCCGTGCCTCGTCCAAGCCTCCCTGCAGCAGCACAAATGCCAAGCAGGGTGTCAGCAGTGAGAGGGCTCTGGAGAGGCTGAAGAGGCTGAGGGGCTTTGGGAGGAAGGGCAAGCAGTGCCCAGCAGCTGGCTCATGCTCAGGCCGGCCACTGGCCCCTCAGCATGTTTTTTTTGCACAGCCTCCTCTTAGCTCAGCAGGATGGACAGTCTCAGCTCCTCAAATGGGTGCAACTGGGATGTTAGCCAGGCAGGCACTGAAGGCTGTTTCAACACAGACATTTATGGTGAGCTCAGGGGTGTTTGGAGGGGGATGTGGCTGGGAGAGAGTAGTCCCTGGAGAGAGCATGAGATGCACTGTGCAGCCCTCTGGGCAAGCATCTCTTTTCCTTGCCTGCACTGGGAGGGTCCCACAGAGCAGGAAGAATCAGTCAACCCTGCTCCTCACACCTCTGTACCACTCCCTCTATGCATGCCTTAAATCTGCACTGGAACACAATTTCACCACTTTATTCATCCCTCAGGCTGGCAATTCAAGTAGCATTTCCCAGCCTGGACCCAAAGGGTTAAGGTGGGATGTTAACTTCAAGGCTAGTTGTGCTGGGTGCTATGGGGATCTGAGCAGTGTGGGTCATGGATGTCCTTGCGGGCAGGTCCCTTCTCTCCATGCTGTGAAGAGCAGATGTGGCATAAAAGCTTCCTTTCAGAGAGGGCATGATTAATCTTTGCTTCTTAGAGGATGACAAATATATTATATTCGCCGACATGCACACGCATTCTCTTCGCCTGACGGGTGACCCCTGTCTTATTGCCAAGCGTTCGAGGTCCAGCTCTGTAAACGAAGAGGAGAGCTTTGCAAGCTCATTAATGCTTTGAAGTCGCTCATTAGGAGCACATTCCTCAGGAGCTGGCGAGCGCAACACCCTTTGTGAGCATGGCTTCATTTGATATTAATGCAGGTGCTGCAGCTGGAGGCATCCAGGGATGTTGAACTGCGATTCTGCACACATGGACCAGCACGGCACATTGCTGTGACCGTAATGCAAAGGGTAAAAGGGAGGCAGGGAAAGTTGCTGTTCCCTCCTGGCACCTGAGGGAGTGAATTTTCCTCCAGGCAAGGTTTTTGTGTGTGAATAAGTTGACCCCGTCCTCTGCTGAGCTGGGGACCCACAGCATCCTCCAGTGGGGTGCCTGGGGTCCTTCTGACCTGCTTCCTGGCACTTGTAAATTATCTCTGGAGGCCAGGGTGACACATCCTGGCTGAGAAACTCTGTGTCACCCTCTTTTGAGACCTGGAAACACTCTTTTTTTCTGGCAGTGCTTCTCATCTCTGCAGCAGCATCTCTGCAAGACCCCCAAGCAGTTCAACTACCCCAGTCCTGAGCAATCCCTGGGGAAGCAAGGAGGGAATTGCTCTCCTCTTCATCAGAACAGCCTGACCAAGTAAGCCTCCAGCAGATGGGATACTCTGGTGAAAGGGCTTGGCCAGGTTTCTCTGTGTGGGCATCATCGGGGGCTGTGGCTGAGCAAGTCTGGTGCAGGGATCTAGGTCATATGGGGATCCCATAGGAGAGGGCAGGACTGGGAACTGGTTGCAGTGTCCCTCCAAAGCAATGGCAGCCCCGTGCGATAATGCTGGCCTGGGAAGAGTCAGGGTGTCTGAAATCAGAGTCAGAAAATATCAGGCTCCTGTGGCTTAAGGGCTAAAGACTTCCTGCATGTGAGTTATTGTGAGCTGTGGGTTTGAATCCCATGTGGTTCAACAGAGGTATTTTTGGTTTTTTTCATTTTTTTTTCTTTTTCTTTTCCCCAGGTGACAGAAAAAAAAAGCTGTACATCACCCTAAAGGAAAAGGAAAACTCCCCTGCCCCACTGTCTTTCCCAGCTAAATGCCCTACTGGAGTCTCAAATGTGGACCGAAGGGGATGAGGAGTGGGACCAGAGGGACAAGGACAGTGCTTTAACCATGTGGTATGTCTGACTGAGTGTTGCTGGGCTGTCAGAGCTGCTCCCTTCCCCCTGGACACCCAGTGGGGTTGGGCTGAGACCCTCCAGAGATGCCCCTCCTGCACCGGGGTCCCTGATGTCGTTATCACCAGGGTCTATGGTCCTTGCACAGGGACACAGGGACTGTGCTGTCCTCCAGGCCCCACAAGACCTGATGCTTCCAATAATGTTCCACCAGTTTGCTGGGGATATAAAAGAAAGCAGTGAAAAGGGGAAGGTGTTGCTGGGCTCAGTAAGTGTCTTGGTTTGGAAATTAGAGGGCTTGATGAATTGTGTACCCTCTAGAGCAGGAATTGGTGGGCCAGGGGACAGTTTACAGCCCACCAGGATGGCCGAGTGGTGAAGGCGTTGGACTTAAGATCCAATGGGCACATGCCCGCGTGGGTTCGAACCCCACTTCTGGTAGGAGTATCCTTTTTCTCTTGGTCCAACCCACCCCGACCCCAGCTTTTAGAGCACTGGTTGAGAGCAGGGATGGGAGCTCCAGGACCAGGCTCTGTGCCTGGGGAGTTGAGGCCATTCAGTGCCCCAGCCTGAGGACCCTGGTGGGACTGAGCCACCAGGGTCCTTCAGGCTGAACACGGAGAGAGACATGAGTCCATCCCTCTGGCACACAGCTTATGGCTCTCGTCCTTCACCCAGAGAGTGCTGGGACTGTCATGGCCTTGAATCCCACACACTCCCAAAATAGCAACTTGTTTTTACTATGGCAGAAATAGAAAAACCTGACTACCCTGAAGGAGGAAAAAAAAAAGGCATCGAGCTCTAAACAGCTCGGGCAAGCCACAAGTGGAAACGAGAGGAAACAAGTGGGTTTAGAGAGGTTGATTTGGTGTTTGTGGAGACTGCTCCACACCAGGTTCTTTTGCCAACTCTGTTCCATGACCCCAGCCCCACTGCTTGTCTCATCCAAAACACTATTTGGCACTCTCCAGGGGGATCTGGCAGCGTCACAGCCCCCTGGAGAAAGTTGGCATGGCAGGAAGGGGTTCCTGATGCTGCTGGTTAAATTTGGGAAACGTATGAGAAACTGAGAACTGCTCCTCTGTTGCACAGCATTGCTATGCTGGAGTCTGTCTTGGGCTGGTACCTATAAATACTCATGAGATTTTTTGTTCCCTTCCTTGTGTGTATGGATGGCCACCAGAATTTTCCCTCAGTAAAGAGCTGGCCTGCTGGACCCGCGGAGACGCTGTCAGGTTTTCATTTGGCTGCTTTGCTCCAGCCTGAGGCCAATCGGAAATGTCCTACTGCTGGGACATGATTTGAAGTGATGGTGTTAATTTGGTTAATTAGGATTCCTGGGTAGCGTGCGCTTCTTGCAAATCAGCTTACCATTGTAGTATCACTGCAAAGAGTTATTTGCTGGTGCATGGGGTTATGTATGAATTTATGATTATGATGTAGGACCATTAATTTCATGTTTGTGGCAGATGATACAGCTCAATTAAAAGTTGCGCGTTAAGATCTTTGGCTCTCTCGCTGATATATGGGAATCAGACAGTGGCCTAAAGGAAGGATTGCAAGGACACTATGAGTGGCCACATAACAAATGGGGCAGGACCCAGAGGAGAGGACATGGGAGGAATTACTTTGTTCCTCTCCCATTTGATTAGTGCTGGGAGTGAAATTTTGTGCATATCTGCTAGAGCTGGCTTGTTGCAACTAACCTCAGTCATTAACTGATGCAAAGAATGACAAATACATCTCTGAGAGTATCCCAGGGGGTCTAAGCAGCACTGTGGGTCGTGTCTTTTGCCTCTGATGGCCTGGAGTCAGACTCCTGTCTCGTTCATTTGTCAAAGGCATTTGGTGGCCTCCGCTGAGTTCAAAGCTGAAATCTCCTCATTTGAGCTTCTCTGTTGATCCATAGCTTGTGTTTTTTCCACCCCAGGCATTTGGGTTCTGGTCTGTTCCTGATCCCTTGAGGATGTTTATCCACTTTGCAAAACTACTGGGCAGACAAAGCATCATCTGAGGGCACCAGGATCTGATTTAATAGCCTTTGTATCACAAGATCTGCCAGAGTCATATGGATGGTTGGGGCCAAATGTTAATTTGACTCAGGACTGAGATCAAATGGCAGAGCCGTGTAAGAATTCGGGGCTGGGTGTTTGGGGACTGAAATAGCAATGAGTCCAGTAGCCAGGGTAGGTGAGGGCTGTGGAGGACTGATAAATAAACTGCCTTCTACTAAGCCACAGTTTTCCTCCTTCTCACCCCATATCCTCCAAGTGTTTGACAGAGCTAAAAAGAGCAGCTTGTCCAATGGCCATTTCCATGTATCATATTTATTAAGATGGTTACTGCAGGTTAAATATCAATAGTTTATTGCAAATGTATTTATTATAGATTAACTATGCAGAATGCACATCTGTTATGTTGTGGTTAAAAGTAAACCTCAGTGAAAGGTTTTTTAATAATGAATTTGTGCTGAAGTAGTGTACAATAAGTATATTTAGCAATCTTACTCTCAATTTCACAAGACAGTTTTATGTTCAATAAATACCTAGAGATTATTAAAAACATATTTATCAAAGATTAAAAGTGATGAAATAGATACAAATCTAAACTGTTAAGCTCAATACACATACTTATAATAATCAATTCCTATATTAAAACACAATAACTGCCTTGTTTAATCTAAATGAAATTTTTTTTTTGGATCTTTGTAAGTGCCATCTTTTGCTGTGCGCTCCTGCTTGCAGATCTCAGATTAGATCCTGGGACATTTGTACTTAAAATAAATCAAGTACTTAGGTAAAAGCAAAGCAGTCCCAGAATAACGCAGGCTGTTTAAGGAACAGGGAGCTAGGGCTTCAAAGGATGTAGGTCAAAGCCACTCCACGGGTACCAAAGCAGCTAGTCCAGCTTGCCCCAGTTCTGTATCCCTGAAAAATCCCCAAATTCAGTCTAACCTACATCTTACACCACCACCTCCAGGACCGGGAGTCTAGAGCAGCCGCTCCCAACCGCTTTACGATCACAGATGCACCCACACTGTTTTGGATACAGAAAGCTACCGCCTGTCTTGTATCCCGTTATTACCTAGCACTTGGAGGCAGAGTGCTAAAATGAGCTAACTATTTAGGAGATAAACAAAATGTTATTGTTTTACTCTTGTAATGCTACTGTTATAATTGCCGGCTGGCGGGTAAGGAGAGCTGGTGCCTCTGCCTGTGCCTGCCTGCAGGTGCTGGGAGCTGTGCCCCAGACACTCACTCTTTGTGGAAAGTGTCACGGGCTGTCTGAGTGCCTCGTGGAGCATTGGTGGCCCTTTGGATCATAGGAGGACTCAACCATGGGCAGCAAGCTGGCCCCATGAGACAGCCCCCAGCTGGCCTGGATCCAGCACCTCGTCCCGGCATTTGATGATGGTTTGGCTTCATCTTTGGGGTCATGCTTCTATACCAGTGAAGTTCAGCATCAAATCCAGGTGACGATATGAATCAGAGGCACCCAAATTTGAGGGAGAATGCACGCTGTGTGTCTAAAGTATGGTCTGTGCCATGACACAAGAGGGCTGTGTGGGTCATCGACCCTGTAACATATTGATGAGTATTTACTTCTTGTGGCAGCTGGATCTGAGAAGACAGCCTGAGAGGGGCAGAAATCACCGACATGGCTGCTCAGTAGTATCTCAAATACAGGGTGATTTTCTGTCTCCCAATTGTCTGTTGATTTCCTTCATTTATGAGTCTTAAAACCAGGCTCAGGCACTGCATTAAGGAATGCTACTTCTGCTATTTAGATGGTATTGAGCAGTTCTGTAGGATCAGATGTGTACCTGGGGCTGCCAAGGAAACCCTTCAAAGGCAGGGCAGAGTCAGGGCATGATGAAGGCAGCTGAGCACCCTTGGGGAGACAGAGGGACCTGTTGGTGAGAAATATATATCTGTGTGTATGTATATATATATATATGTATATATCTCCTGGTATATGAGTCTTGTCTGTGCTTATGGCACCAGTATATGGTGCAAATGTCTGGCTTTGAGGGGTGCATTCAACTCAAAAGTTGGCCCATGCAACCAAGGAAGCTCTTTCTGTGCTTAGCTGGGTGAGGGCAGTGCTGGACCTTTCATCCCATCTACGAAAACGACCCAAACGGCTTGGAGGCTTTGTGTGTCTCCAATGCAATCACCCACTCCTCTGTGGACATCAGTTATATTTGTTTACACCCTGAGTTTGTCTCCTGTACGTGTTCCTCAGCTCAACCCACCCTGTGGAGGATGCCTAGCTGGTAGGGGGGGAGTTTTCCATCTTAGCAGAGAGCTCCAATTACGGAGGTGACCAGAGAAAAAAGACAAGCGGGCACGCGCCACTGCCTTTAATAGAAGGCAATGATTCTTCTGGGCTCCAGAGTAATACGGGAGATCTGGTTTTAATAAATTAACAGCCTACAAGTAACAATCTCAAGCAATTAAACTCTGGAATGAAGGCGAGCACCATGAAATGTATTCTGGAGCTGACAGGGGGGCGGCAAAGACAATCCCTGAGCAGTGAAGAAGGCAAAAATATAATAAAAACACCCCAGAGAGAGTGGGAGAGCTCTGCTTCCCCTCTCATCTCTATTGTGTATGCATGCAGACATCTCGTCTTGCTCCCCATCATCCCTCCTTCCTCCACTGGCTCCTGGGGATCTGATTTGGAGCTTCCCTGAGCTCATCCAAGTCTCTATCATCACCATCACCCTTGTGCCTTCTCTCACCTATGTAGGTAAGAAAACCCCCATGGTGAGGAGGGGATGGCTGGTGGGAGACATGGGAAATAGCTAGGAGCTTGAGGATAGCTAGGAGCTGGGGAGGGGAACAAATAAATAAAAACTAAGACTGCTAAGCTCCCTGTCTTACATTAATAGCCTGTATGGAATCCTCTTTGCCATAGAATTCAATTTATTTCCATTTAAAGGCTGTTCTTCTCAATCAATGCAGTTAATAAATAGCTGCTGATGGCCATGACCCCCGGGCTGAGGGAAGAATTTATCTTCTGAGCCAATTAAAGGAATTGAACAATTCCTTTTAATAACGCTATGGGATTTTAATACAAGAAAAAAAAAAAAAACAAAAAGCCCAACAGGAGCAGAAAGAAATCCCTCCCCGAGCCTTGCAGGGAAGGGTCAGGCAGGCTCTGCCAGGGTCGGGATTAGATGCTTTAACTTGTCTTGTGAAGCCGGTAGGGGAAATACAGTGTTCCCTGTGAAAGCACAGGAATGCTTTTCTTTTCTGCTGTCTTAAAAAAAAAAATCCAGAAATCAAAAAACATAATGGAAAATTATGTTCCTTACAGCAGAGCTGTAAAGGGTTTGGAGGGATTAATGAGCCCCTGTGGCATGGTGGGAGAGATGGACAGGCCAGGTCAGTTGTGATGCCTCTTGCGCAGCTGCAATGGGCAGGATTCCCCTCCAGGAGTGGGGATTTCTCCTGTGGGCACAAGGAGAGTGGGACTCAGGGCAGCAGAACCTTTCGCCCTGGGCACTTCCACACTCACAAGGGTAAGGCAGAGCTGGCCTCTCCATGGCTTTTTTTCTCATTACACATTTTCTTAGTAGCAAAAATCCTTGCTGATCCACTTGAGCCTTCATAGAGGGATAGGAAGCATCCTATGAGGCTTATGGGTTCCCACAGATGGTATTGGAGCCAATGCTTGGTCAAGAGAGCATTTGTGCCTTGGAAGACGGACAGGTGCAATGGAGGTGGCAAGGGAAGCAGAACAGATACCTATTGAGTTTTCACAAAGCTGCCTAACCCCAAATGGCAGTGGGTCTTCTCCACTCCATCACTCTCCTGTCAATGAAATCTCATGACTCCTGTTGGCATCGGATGAGAGCATCTGTCAAGCACACGAGTCTCCTTCGAGCACTCCTGTGCTGTAGGGAAGTCTCTTATCTCCATTTTACAGATGGCAAGCAGAGGCACAGAGAGGTTAATTGACTTGCCCAAAGTCAGCACAGGAGGTCTATAAGTGACGCCAGATCCCTTGAATCCCTGTCTTCTGGCTTAATCATAAGACCATCCATCTTCATCCCCTTCCCTCTCAGGATTCCCCAGCAACTGTGATAGTTCAGGCACTTGTGTTGGCAAACTGCAGATGGAGACAGCGCTGGGAGCTGGGCATTGCCAGAAATGGTTTCTCAGCCCCCTTTCCCCAGAGGACATAAATTTTCACCTTAAAAGTTTGGGTTTTTTTTAAACTCTTCTCTATTCTCCTTCAGTGCTTGAGCGTGAGGAAGAGCATTCAGTCTTTGGGGAGGTATTTCAGAGACGCTGAGGTACAAGGACATTTCATCACTGCTTTGATAGAGAAAGGACATTTTTCCTGGTTTTTCATGCATCACCCCCATCAAACTGATAAGCAAATTGAACCCACAGGTATAAAACAAACAGTGACCTTTATTTTCAAGGGATCACCTGGTAATAGATCCCTGCAGGGCTCTGGAGGTTTGTCCTTGACAGCCATTCCCCTCTCTGCTGAGCAAGTCTGTGCGTGCAGGGCCATTGAGACATGTGGCAAGGCGCGAACATTTCCCTCACAATGTCTCTTGTTTCAGAAGTGTGAATGGAAGGAGCAGAGAGTCCTGAGCGAGCTGTTGATGAACGTGGAGCACGCCTTACGTTCCCTCTGAGACTGGGAAGGAAATCACAACTGTAAGTCCGCCTCTTTCAATTTGCAGACTTTCTGCAACATCTCTGTTCTTTCTTCTTGCTCTCTCGTTTTCATTTTTTATTAATTACCCGGTGACGATTTTCCCAGAGGACTCTATTTTTCATTAATTATTAGGAGAACTATAGGGGGAATGCTGAGCTGTTGGAGAGCTCACTTTGAGAACATCAGGTGGGAGCGTTTCCTAATGCCTACATGTGTATCCTTTTGACATTCTGCTTGCACAGGAGGCTAAATGACCTGCCTGGGATGCAGAGGAACTTTTTTTATTCAGCACAGCATGTTGAGCAAGGAAACTTTATTTAAGTGCTGGTTTGTTGGCCCTGGAGACTAACATACTGCTCAGCCAGAATCGATCAGCCTGCTCTGTGTATGATTTATCATCATGTCCTGCGTGTAGGAGAATTCACAGACAGAAGCCAGTGTCAGCACAGGACCGTGCTGCACTTGCATCATGGTTTTCTACTGCTGAAGATGTAGATATGGCAAGAGAAGTAATAATGCTGGCCTGAAATCTCTGGTCCAGATGGTGACTGTCCCCAGTGCAGATGAGTAATGAAGGTGGAGGAAGAACATTTGTTCTTCCTCTCCCCCTGAAATCATGGCTTTATAGTTGTACCTTCTACAGTCCCCACAGTATGCTGAGATTCATGGGAATGTCTCGAAAGAAACCGGCAGGAAGCTCAGTGTTAAAAGTGAAAGCTCCTTGGTGTGGCAGGTCTATTTGAGCATTGTTGGTGTTTAACTTCTGTTTGAAAGAACAGAAGATGCTATTTTTATGATGATCTTTGAACTGGCTTCTGCAGGTTACTGTAGATTACTGAATACCACTATTTCTAGGATATCTGGTAATTAAGTACTTGTGTGTATTTAGAAGTGTGTTCTCCATACATGAACTGGTATTTGCAACAAGCCAAGAAGAGTTAGGATTTTCTCCAGAAAATTCTGACCAGGCTTGCAGGGTCCTACACATGCTCATAGTATATTTCAGAGAGCACAGTCCCAAAGCTGTGAGAGGTTAGAGAGCAGACTTCAGCATCACCTGCTCCTTTCAGAAGCTGAATGAAGACCAGTGTAAATATGTGGTTTTCTGGGCTTTAATTTAAGGACTTTAAGTTGCATTGAGGGTTGGTACCTGTCTTCCCATGTTAACTTGGTCCTCCAGCCCATGCTTGACTTTCTGCACAGGACATCCCTGCTCAGGCCCATTACAACCACATCCATAATGACTCCTCCTGAAGGGCTCTGTTCAGGTGTTGCACGGTGGTAGCACTTTATTACACATCAACTCCTATGCTGTTTTACAACATTGTTTCTATGGTTACCCACCACCCTCCCAAACCCATGGAGCCCATAAAGAGGCAGGATTGCACTTCACAGCAGCAAGACCTGTCATGTACAGTGACAGGCTTAATACCTGATGGAGTGAAGTGCTAACTCACAGTTGGGTCCCAGTTGTGAAGCCACTACCCCAGGAGCCTCTCCTGGTGATGGGAAGCACGGAAGGTGCCCACACGGAGGTGGGCGAAGGGGGGAGATCTTGTCAAGTCTCGGGTAATTGTCTGCTGCTTCCAAACACCCAACTTCTCACCTTCATGTCAACAACCAACTTGGATCTGCCAGTTGCTGGAGTTCATTGGTAGGGTGGGACAGGGAGGACTTATGGCAACAGGAGATTTTTTGCTAAGAAACACCCCATAAAGGCTAATATGGACCTATTTGGCCCCACAGGTTTTCTGGAATGAAGTTACAAACATGGTATAGAATTGATTTTGGTCTGAAACAGCTTTTTCTTTCCAGAATAATGGGTTGAATTTATTTCTATTTCATGATCTGGGGTGGCTTGTTTTACTGGTGTGTAAGGGGGAAAACAAGGATGTTCTGAGAAATTTTTAAGGAAGGACTAAGAATTTGATCTGGATAACATGACTACTACGGAGAATGAAATTTTATGGGCATAATTATTTTACAGAACACTTTTTAGTGCTTAGCTGTCTGTCTAGTTGGACCAGACCGTGCCCACAAATACGTTACTGTAATTCGATATTTGCTTGCTGTTAAACCTGCCAAACATGTGTATGTGCAAGAACACTATCCAAAATAGTTGAGACAACTCACAAAAAAAAAAAATATTTGGAAAATCTCAAAGTGAAGCACCTTATTTCCCTGGGGAGAACATTGGCTTTTATTGTAAAAATAATTTTAAAAATCAAGCTCCCTCCTCCATATACCATTCATTCTAAACCATAAGATGTTTTCAGGAAACATCCTCCCCCTCCAACTATATCAGAAATTAGCACTTTTGACAACCTATTTTCCACCAGTTCTAGGTGAGGTACAGAAAGGGTCCTTGAGGTGCCAGTAGATGACAAATTGGAGATCAGTGTGAAATAGTATATTACGGCAAGTAAAATCATGTGCCTCCATGGAGGCAAATTATGCTGTAGGAAGGAAACAGCCCTTCCCTATGTGTTTCTGATTTGTCCTCAAAACAATCCGCATGCTCGTTCCTGGCCACCACAACGTGACCAGATAATGAAACCTAGGAGGAAACTAAAAGAAGAACAACTAGACCACCCATTCTGCCTTCTGATCACTAAATGATCTGACGTTTGGAAAAAATGATTTATGTGGGAAGCCTCAAACCGCTAAAGGAGGCTACGAGATGACAACACGTACTTCTGTGTGTGGGAAAAAAAAAAGCCTAAAAATATCTGAAGGGTGTAAACATGAAGGAGAGAGCTGCGGTATCAAAGGGACAACGCACGGTACAGGGTTTGGAGCTGGCAGCTTTCCTTGCTGTTGGGAGCAGTGGATGGGAGATAACTGAGAGGCAAAGCAGCAGCAACATGACTATATTTCACCTAAGCCTGTCCCTCTGTGACTTGATTTGTCACATCCTACTCCCGCCCGTGACTGGCATCAGGACCTGTCCCACTGAAATACTGCCTGGAAATAAAACAAAGCAACAAAATATTTTCCTTTACACTTAATCATAGTGACCCCCCCAACACCAAGGGACAAACTTGAGCCTGCTGAAATCAAAAGGGCTTTTCCTGTGGGGCCGTATCCTGCCAAGTGTCATCTGTCCTTGTAGTTGCTCCCTTCCTTCTCAAGCAATAAAGCAACACATGGATCATCATTACCAGACCCCAAGACTGTAAAGAAATTGTTATATATTTCCTATAGCTCTCTCTCTATATATGGTTGGATTCTCAGCTGATGGGAAGCAACACTGATTCATGGCAGCCGAAAACACAACCTCTTGTGTTTTGTCTTGTCTTCTCATCTCATTGAACTTTCCAAGGATCTAAATTAATGTAAGGGAAATATGACCTTGCCTCAGTGAATTGTTTTGGGGGCTAATGTGCTGAGCGATTTATGGGCAAAGAGGGTTTTTTTTCCCTCTTTCTTTAATAAAAAGTGCTTTCATTCAGCAGCTTTGATGGAAAGCCTGTGAGGACCTATGATAAGTATGTAACCGGAACAGACTCATATTAGATATCACTGTTACAAATCTATTAGTCCCACACATTAGAGCATGTGCTGGACCTGATGAGCTACACTAGTGGGAACATGAGTCATTTTCTGAAATAGATGTAGCTTGCAAATCTTTTAGACTGTTATCCAATTCCTTTTCTTTCAGTTTAATTAGGATATAAAACATGGCCTTAAGAGCTCGCATGAGTGGAGGGAACTCCATGTAAAGGATAGGGAGGCAGCTGCCAGTGTTTCCCAGCTGTGCTGCTGCTGATCCTGTTTGCTTTCTCCCGCAAGGTGCTTCTGCTGTCCCCCTGGGACTGAGGGAGACAACATCTCTTGAAACATCACAGGATGACAGAGCTACTCGTGCTCTCTTGAGGGTAATGTGCACAAGGCAGGTTGGCCTTGGGTTTCCTCCACATCCCTGCCCAGCCCCTGCCAACACCCAGCTCACTGGGAGATGCTGGGCTCTCCTCCCAGCCAGCAGAGCCCTTGCGCTGGCACAGGGCACCCGGCGCCTGCTGGGGCTGAGCCAGGGCCCAGCAGAGCTCCTGATACACGGAGGGGTCTGCCAAAAGCTCCCTAGCTGGGTAACACAGCGACAGCAGAGAGCAGCAACGAGACAAATCAGATGGTGGTTCTTTTCCAACCATATATGCAAAGCACCTATAATGAGCGGAGACGAGCCCCTGAGATCTGTGATGCTGCTGATGAATTAATGCAAAATCAAACCATACACTTTAAAGACAAGAGCATCCAGCCCTTCTCATAACCAATGCAGGACATGTTTCATCCGGAGCGTATCTGCTATCATTGGTGCTCTTTCTGTTCTTGAATTCATCTGTTCGGTACATTTGAAGACTGGCGTGATTAGCATTTGGCTTTGCAGAATTCAGAACCTAATTCCTAGGAGTTTTCATGTCTCCCTTTTTTCTTGTTTTGATTCTTGTTTGTCCGTTTGTTAGTTTGTTTGGCAACATATTTCCTGTTTGAAACAAAAATAGCAGAGATGGGCACTTACTTTCTTCCTGGACAGATTCCTTTGGATACTGCTTTATTTCTTTTTTTAAAGATGGACACCTGCTTTCCTTATAAGTGAGTGTTGGCAGGCTGGGAAGCTGGAGGGGGGAGGAGGAAGGCAAGGAGAAATGCATCTGTTTAGAACAAATGCAATACTGTGGGAAAGCTTTATAATACGATCCAAGATTGGCCCCATTGCCTGATGCTTTAAACATATGGTATTCTCCTATATATATTATGCATGAAAACTAGCTGCATGCACATGGCTGTCATTCTGCAATGTTTTACATACAGTCTGCCAAGTCCTGAACTTCTCCTTCTCATTCAAACTCGGCTCCCAGTGAAGACAATGAGCATTTATCTAAGGCTCATTGCGTTTGGGGTGCTCCATCCCTTCTCCCTTAGTTTAGTCTCAGCTGTATGATGATCTCAATGTTTCATCCTTTGGCACCCAGTGCTGACCTTCCTGCTCCCCAGGGCATGTGAGGCTGGAGCAGGAAGGTGTGGTGATGTGGCAATGAACAAAGTGCTGCTGGGCAGGAAAAAAAAGCCTCATTTGCAGTGTGGTTATAATGCAGAGTTTAATGCAATGCTCACAAACCTGTGTGTTGTGTTAGCTCTGGCTCATGGTAATATGTATGTGGCATAGTCTATATCTTTGTCTAGGATCTCTAAGACAGTTTTCCAGGTCCACCTGGGCAGGGCAGGCACTGGGATCTACTAGGATAAGAATTGAGGAGAAGCTGTAGCAAGCCCTGTGGTTTCTGTCCTGCTCTGACACAGGCCTTTCCTTCCTACTTAGCCTTAGTCTGGTTGAGCTTTCTTTTGTGGGGAGGAAAATTGCTATTCTGGGGGGAACTTCATGTTGTTGCACTGGTGGGCTGGAAAGAAGTGGCATCAGAGACTGATATTGCAGCTATTGCATGTATTTCTTGGCTACCATCAGCTCCGTGCTTGGGTCCCATAAAGGGATGCTTCTTTTTTTTTTTTTTTTTTTTTTTTGTAAACACAATTGAAAGAACTGTGGGTTTTCATACCTTCTAAAAATTGTTCTGTTGCCCTGGGGAAACCTTACCATGCTCTCCTAGAAAAGATCTGCATAGCAATATACAACTAAATATTTACAATGGCT